TCCTTGCCATGATGTGATGAGAATGTGACTTCGCCTTGGTGATCTTTCTCCTCAAAACTCATAATCATGGTCTAATGATGGGAAAAACATCAGACAAATTCCAGTTGAGGAACATTGTACAAAATGCCTTACCAGCACTCTTCAAAACTGTAAAGGTCTTCAAACTAAGGAAAATCTGAGAAATTGTCACAGCCGAGAGGAGTCTAAGAAGACGTGCTACATACATGTAATGTGGTATCCTGGATAGGATCCTGGAACAGAAAAAGAACATTAGGTAAAAACTAAGGGAATCCAAATAAAGTGTGTACTTTAGTTAGTAATAATGTTATCAGTATTAGTTCATTAATTGTGACAACTGTACCATACTAATGTAGGGGAAGTTGGGTGTGGGGCATATGGGAACTCTACTATTTATTGATTTTTCTATAAACCTAAGCCTGTTCTAAACAAAAAGTTTTTAAAAATCAATACAAGGTAGCAAATGACGACAGAATGGGATTCATTCATTTATTCAGCAAATATTTCTTCAGTACCTGTTACTTCACTGGGGACTAGGGGTTGGTTGCACAATGAACAGAGAAATTCTTGACCTAGAGGAGCTTGCGTTGTAGAATTGTGTGTGTGCTAGGTGTTGTAGAATTAATTGATGTTCCCTGTTACACCTTTTCTTGCTTAGGAAGGAAGTCCCAGTGGCATTCCAGTGGCAATGTGACCTCCATTACTTCTTGTTAAATAAGGGGCAAACATGATCCAGGCCATAATTCAGCGGTGAGAGGATGAATAGAAAGAGACCTTGCATAAGAAGGGATGGGTCCTGGGACAGCTGGGAGACAGCTGGCACAGCCAGTGTTCCAAACCCTGGAATACAGCACATCCCTTGAAGCCTAGGGAGCAGTTGCCCAGTTACAGAATCTAGCCAGTGAAAGGTCCCTTTACTTTGTAGGAAAGGAAACTGAGGCCCAGAAAAAAAAAGTGATTGCTAGTGGTCACTGGGCTATCTTGAAATCAACTTTTTATATTTTCATTCCCCAGAGGCTGTGGAAATTTATTCTCGTGGCTAGAAATCATCAAAAACTGAAAGGTTAGATGTATATATTTGCCTAATATTAGATGTGAACAACAAAAAAGAATCAGGAAAACTAGATGTAGAATAAACATAACTGTGGATGAAATAACTTCAGTGATAGGAGTTTCCAAACTGATTATGCTCTATAACCAATCGTAGAAATGTATGGGAAGGTGCAAAATAAACACACACTTCCTAAAAGGGAACAAATTCACTTTAAGATCACTGTCACTGAAATAAAACCAAGTTACTATGTATTTATTGCATTAGCTAAGTAATAGTTTACAGGGGAGCTTAAATGGTATAGGGGAGGTAGTAGGACTGATAGTCCTTTTAAAAATTAAAAATAAAAGACCAACAACAAAAACATAAAAACTTCAGGGTGACACCGATTCATAGTCAGGTAAAAACAGAACAGAGAGGGGACCTCTAAAGTAAGAGTTTATCTATGTAGTAATGAGCCAGATCCAATCAGATAGCTATGCTAGTCTTAAACTCGTTTAGGGCTCTCTGCAGCATCCTGAAGCCTGAAGATGCCACTTCAGGCATCAGTTTGAGGCAGCTCACTCCCCTAACAATGCCAGCCCATTCTGCACAAAGTTAGAAATATGACCAGATGGCACCCTCAGGGAAAATTACTTGTGAAATTGAGCTTTCAATCTTTCTGTTAAGGATTGTTTTTAAACAACCACCAGGCCAGAAGATGCTTCCATGTTTTATCAGGGGAACACAGGAGCACATTTAAAGTGGAGTTTGAATGAAAAATTAGAATTATTAGCTCAGCCTCTAACACTGAGCTAAGTATTATGCGCCCTAGGCAGCATGTGAGAATCACCTGGAGAGCTTTTAAAAGGCCCTGACTCCATCCCAGGCCAATTACATTAGACTCTCTGGGGTGGGATTCAGGCTTCAGTATTTTTTAAAGCTCCTCAGGTGATTCCATTGTGCAGCCCAGTCCAGAATCCACAGCTCTACAGGGAGTTCATCTAAATTTGAATATCCAATATACTTAATTAAAGCAGAATAAACTAACCTGGCATTCTAGGAGTACAATACCCTCAAAGGGTATCCAATGGAATACAAACTATAATTTTAACAATTTGCCTTTTAAGTCCAACATACCCAGATTGCTTTGACTTATCCTCTCTTCTGCAGGTGTGTCCACGGCAGAAGCAATTACCTCTTAAATTCAGGTATTTTTTTTCCTCAATACACTTACTGGTCAGCATGAGGCACAAACTAAGTGAGAATGAGAAATCTCATTCCCACTCTCCACCCTCCTTGGTTGACCTTTCAGAGCAGGAAAATAAATAAAGACTAACTTCTCTTAAACGTTTCAAAACAAAATAATTAAAATGTGTCTTTGGGTAAATAACCATGAAACTCAATGAGGTATTTCCTGTAGTTTTTATAACAGTCAGAGACTCAGGGTCAATCATGGAAATAGCTGCATAGTATTGACTCTGCCAAATTGCTCAGTGAAATTACATCACAGGAAGCTGCTCCCTGTAGGAGTTTTGAGTAGCACGCCCCCCTTCAGCCGTTTGGGCACCTGCCTGCAGCCCTGCAGAGTGGTAGCTTCCCCCCTCCCCCCCCCCATGTGAACTTTCTCTAGTTACATAGCATCATGACAATTTGTCCAGCCTAATTGGAGGTGGTTATCCCACTCTGATTGAGGACATTCAATAAACAATAATGAAAAAGACAGCTTTAATTGTCCTGAAGGCTTGAAATTTCTCCCAAGGAAAATACCAGGGACGGTGGCCAGATTGCTAGTGGGTTTCTAAGAAAAGGGTCACTCTGTCATGGAAGGGATTAAATCTTTAAAGTAGTCATGCATATAACAATCAAAAACCTCCCAGCCCACAAATGTTATGTACTTAGTTTCTTTCTCTCCATAAGACATTTAGGTAGTATAGGAAATGAAATCTACACTCCCTGGTTGCCTGGTGCAAATACTGACTCATTCCCAATGGAGATGATAGCTGTAAAACCACTACAATATTTGGCTTCAAGGTGGTAGATAGAGGTTTGTTTGTTTCCTAATACAAAATGTATGGGGATACTATTCAGCAATGAAAAGGAAGTGCACATACATGCTACAACATGGATGAGCCTCAAAAGCATTATGCTCAGTAAAAAAAAAAAAAAGCCATATATTGTATCATTCCATTTATATGAAATAGCCATAATAGGCAAATCTATAGAGCCAAAGGGAAGTATTGTAGATTAGTGTTGCCTAGTGCTGAGGGTGGGAAAGGTGATTGACTACCAATGGCCAGAGGGGATCCTTTTGGGGGTGATGTTAATATTCCAAAATTGGATTGTGGTGATGGCTGTACAACTCTGTAAACTCACTAAAAATCATGGAATTGTATACTTGAAACGGATGGATTTTATGGTATATAAATTATTCTTTATTCTTTGGACCTAAATAAAATCCTGTTCTTTGGACTAAATAAAACTGAAGAAAAAGAAAGTTATCCTGCCACCTCTCCTGGGTCTGGGGGTCTAAGCTGCCATGCACGTCATTTTTCTGTCACGTACACTCCCCGTGAATTCTGCTCTCTGTCCCATTTCCACTTATAAAAAGTTATCAGGATGGGGGGGGGTAGAAGAAGGGGGGGACACATTACCACATCTAAGATTCTGTGCCATCACGACACCGGGGTCTGGGAATTGGAAAGGCGATCAAGCATAAACGCTTCCTGATGTAGAAAAGAAGGCGAATATAATGAGGGGTCTTGGCCGCCTCACAAACGTGGCCTTCCTCATTACAGTAAACAGAGCCCACTGGGGAAAATCCGATTCCAGCAGAAACCTAGTCGGAAGGCTGGATCCCTAAGGTCCACAGAATAACCAGTCAGTCAGTCGGCAGGGTTTCTAACAAACACAGGTCAAGCGTTTACCAAACCCAGGTTGGTTTTACTTGCGAAGCAGGCGCTGTGTTTCCACGGGAGCACGAAGTTGGGAAGTTTGGTTCTAGGGCCCCCGGTGCCCCTGGAATCCCTGCTGGGACCCACGGCCTCGGGGCGGGCGGCGGCGCTGCGCTACCTCAGTCGCCCTGGCCGAGGCAGCGCCCGGGCTCCCGCAGCGCCCACCGTCCGGGACTGTGCGAGGGGGACCGTCAGTGCCCAGCTCGGGTGAGGCCGCCTCCGCAGAGCGGCCCGGAGCGGTCGCGGCACGTCGGGCAACCTACCCGCCCGGAGCGCAGTCCGGCCCGCGCGCCCAGGGCCGTGTGCTCGGGTCTCACCTCGCGCGTCCGCAGGCGTGGGTCGCGCCACCGTCCCATACGCGTCCCGACACCCCTGACGCCGGCTCCCGCAGGGTCCCCGGGACTCTGACCCGGGTCTTTGCGCCTCCCTTGGGGAACCATGCGGCGTCCAGGTGGCCGAGCCCCGCGCCGCGGGGGGGAGGCGCCTCGGCGCGGGCCTCGCCCGGGGCGGGGGGGCGCGGGGGCGCGGGGCTGAGGGTGGAGCCGGACGCCGCCGCCCTGCCCCGGGGGACCGGCTCCCAGCCCCCTCCCCGCGTGCCCCCCGCACAGTGCTCATGCGCGCGGGGCCAGCCTTTATAGCGGCCGCAGGAGCCGCGCTTTCCGCACTCAGGCGCAGCAGGGCGGACCCAACTCAGGTGTAGAGCCCTGGGCGTCTGTCCGGCGCGGTCGTGCGGGTCCCTGAGACTGCTTGTCGGTGTCTCTCCTTTGTTGCTCCCGGCTCGTCTATCTTCATAGTGCACCCACCGCCTCGGCCCAGGTTGCACATCGATTCTGCTTTTGGCTCGATTTGCAGTCGGAGCGTCGCCTCCCGATCGAGAGGGCGCTAGCTCCTGGGTTTCCGAGGGGTGCAGGATCTCCGCGGGGCGGCGGGCGGGTGTGGTGGGCGCGCAGGGGCCTCCGTTCTCTGGGAGCCTCCCTCTTATTCTCCGTCTCTCCCAGGTCCGAGCAGCCCCCTCGACTACCATGGCTGCAGCCTGGATCCCCGTTCTCTGCCTCGGTGGGTACGCGCCCCTCACCGCCCCCTTCCCCTCGCGCCCCGCCGCGGAGAGGCTGGAGCCGGCCCTCGTGCTGTCCTCTCTTCGCAGGTGTCTGTCTGCTGCTGCTGCTGCTGCCGGAGTCCGCAGACAGCCAGGGAGCCGGTGAGTGGCGGGCTCCTGGTCGGAGAAGCAGGACTTGGTCCAGGCGGTGGGAGGGGCTAAGGGCCAGCAGGTAGAGGCGCGCTCAGGTGGAGCCTCTGGACCGCGGCCCCCGGGCTGGAGCTGGAGAGTGCGCAGGTTGGAGCAGCTCCCAGGGGGCACCCCCATTCATAACCACAGCCGATCTGCTCCTTTACCCATTTCTCCCACGCGAGGGGGCTTCTGAGGTCTAATGGGGCCGTTCTTCCCAATGCGCAGATTAGGAAGCCCCCCTCATCCACATCCGCATCCCGGTATCCACAACGGCAGCCGAAGGTCAAGATGGGGGGTACTCGTTGAGCCTCCCCGGGGACTCACTAGTCCCGGGTGTTTCGTAGCATTTGGGGACAGGGAGAAAGAAACCTTCCAGACCCGACTTCAGACTGTCATAGCTGACAGAGAGACGGAGAGACAGAGAGAGAGACAGAGGCAGAGAGGGTTACGTTGTCCCACCTTGTTTGAGCCTCTGGCTATATTTCTAGATGTAACCCCTATAAAAAGCATTCGAGAGCGTCTAGAGTTTGTTCCACATGTAGAAGTCCGAGTCCGGGTTGTGTGGTTCGATTTGTTTTCTACAACATAAAAGTCTTTTCCCACATCTAGCCTTTGTTTTCCTTGAAAGGAGAGATGAGGGTAAGACCCCACCCCCCGCACACACACATTCACTCAAATCAGCGTTGGCCACGGAAAACGAGAAGTAGGATTAAGGCTATTAGATAACAGCTATGAGGTTTATAGGTATGAGGCTACCGTTTTGGGTAAGGATTTTCATTTCCCCAGCAATCTAGAGTGTTTCAGAGCTGAGGACTTACCTTGTACCTGGCATCCTGCCTTCCTGTCCATGGACATGGACGGTACAAAAGGGTAAGCTCCACACAAGGAGCACTTAGAAAACGTCCTTGTTAGCGGAAGGCTGCCGAATTGGGCAGTATGACCAGACAGTATTACCCTGTTTTGGAAAAACGTTGTTTTGTTTTTAATTAACGCCTGTTTCAAAAAGGTTTGAAATAATTTCCTGTGTTTTGGAAAATGATATTTAATAACATTCTCGATTTAATGTTTAAAATAAATGGGTGAATTAACATGTATTATGTTATCTTGTTTCACGTTGCCAAGGGCTTGTCTCTGCCTAACATCTTTTGTAGTAAAAACTTTGATTCTGTGTTAGTCAGGTTGACGATGTAAAATTTGAGAATACTAACAGTGCTTTGTAAAAATACATTCACTGCCCGGGAGAGCTCTCTGAACAGATCTGGAGCAGAAATAAACAGGTTCAATCCAGATAAAAATGCTCCATCCTGAAGGACTAACTTCCCTGTTTTCTGTCCTGCAGGAATTGTAGAATGTTCCTTGGGCTGTGTGACCTTGGGCAAATTAACCCCCTGGCTTTAATCCTTTTCATTCTGTTAAATGAGTGATTGAGCTAAATGACGTTCTGTAAAGTTGAAGCATCTTTTTACTGGTTTGCTTAAATTAAGATATAATTTAAAGGCACTACCTTTCGAGGAGAATTGGTATAAATAATCCTCTGAAGCCAAGGATGCATCTATGAAAATGTTCCTGACAAGTTCAGCCCAGACTTAATATCACCACCTCAGCAACTATGTACACGGTTGTCATCAGAAGTGAGATTTTTATATTCCTGGAATGCATTAATAAGTGGTCAATGACTAATGTTATTTTCTAGTTCTGATAGAGTTCCAATTATTTTCAAACTGATCAGAACTGAGAAAATTCTCCAATTAGACTTTATAGTGGCTGAGGACTAGATTAAATTGGAAAACTGATTTTTGGCTTGTTAAATGCTGGAATGGTGTGGAACAGTACATCAGTCAATATTCCTAACTAGAAGTATAGAAATCAGAGAAGTAAATTTTCAATCTCATATCCTAGTTCTCCCACCACCACTGCCCTAAAAGTCCTAAGAATGGTTATTACATTCCCTCCTTACTCTTTAGTTCCCATCGCTATCACATGCTTTACCAGAGGCCTGGACATCAAGAAAGAGAAAGCAGATGTCCTCTGCCCAGGGGGCTGCCCTCTTGAGGAATTCTCCGTGTATGGGAACATAGTATATGCTTCTGTATCAAGCATATGCGGTGCGGCTATCCACAGGTAAGCCTCACCATGCCAAGGCAGAGAGAAAAGCAAGTTGTCATGATGTCCTGTCCCTACTTAGCCATCTGGATCTCCCATCTTTTCTTTCTTTTGGTGCTAGTTTTGGCCATAGAATATGGATACATTTTTATTTAAGGTTTTCCTGACTATCCTTGAACACCAGCTACACAAGGGAAGCGTTCTGACTAAAGGCAAATTGCATTATTTCTTTTTCTTTTTTTTTTAATATATGTTTTTTTAATTTTTATTTTTATCCGTGTACATGTTTTGGTGTGTTTTTTTTAAATTGGGGAACAGTGTGTTTTTCCAGGACCCATCAGCTCCAAGTCAAGTAGTTGTTTCAATCTAGTTGTGGAGGGCACAGCTCAGTGGGCCCATGTGGGAACTGAACCAGCAACCTTGGTGTTGTGAGCACTGTGCTCTAACTACCTGAGCTAACCGGCCGCCCCTGCATTCTTTCTTTTTTTTTTTT